TTCCTTATCTGCATTCAAAAGCAGGAAAAAACGAAGCAGTAATTAAGAAGAAAGCATGCCTGTAAGAAAAAAAATAGTTAATGACTTTAACAATGTATTTTTACATATGATATAGATGATTTTCTCTGTTTCAGAAGTCTAAATCCAGAATATCCAAGTCAGGGTCTAAATCCAAGAATATATTTAGAATTTTATCTCTCTATAGCAAATGTGGAGACTATATTTTTTGGTGTATATGCACACTTTTATGAAAACTGAATATAAGATGTAATGTTTGCAAATCCTAATGCAATTTAAGGGACTAATTCCTAGATACAATATACTAAATCAAATTTGATATTGATACGTTTTTCCTCAACAGTACATTTTAAAACACAAAAGCGTTAATTTTGTGCTTGTATTCGGGCTTCCCTGGTACACTAGCTACATGTTAAAGTGCCTGTATACCCCAAAACAAGATCATCTGTGATACGCACTGCAAACAAAAGGAAGCCACTGAAAGAGAAAATAAGATTTGAAATTACTCTTTCTGAAATACATAGAACATATGTGTCTCCAGGATGCAATTGCTGCATGCCAATCTAAAGAATTTAGACCTTAATTCTGCAAATATTTATGTGTTAGGCTTATCTTTAAACACGTGAAAAACGTTTACTTCTGCTGAACATTAAGTGTATGTATGTTATTTCAGGATGAAGGACTGAGTTTTTAAATTACTCAGAAAGTCTTCGCTTTATCTTGCCATGAAATACATTTTTGATTTTAACATAGTGCCTTCTGTACTCTTTTTTCTGAGTAAATCTTTTACTTACTTAGATCGTAAAGCATTTTTGGGAAAGGACCTGTATCTGCACGGAGCTTGACAATGCCTAATACACTGTCCTAATACTGAGGGCTTTATTATAATATAAACAAGAGTAATAACTCTGGAGAGCTACATCTATGTAGAGCTATGTAATTTACTTTTTTTTTGGATAAATTATCCATTGTTCATGATTGCGATGACAGAAACAATTCTCCCTTTAAGTTTTCTTCAAATAAACTCATTGCTAATGCTACCAAATTACTAACTTTAAAATCCATGCAAAACAGTGACTCAGTATGTGCCACCCCCTAAAAAATAGTTTGTTTCTGCAGTGTGGGCATAGTGAATCCTAGCAGGTTGGACTTGTCCAAGAGCAGCTACAGAAAAGGGGGTAACAGCAGAGTAGATAACAGTAACAATGTTTTCTGGAACTTTAATGTAGGTGTGCTTGGTAGTATTTAGGCTTTCTGCATATTCTTCTTGGCAAAACTTCTCTTGTCTTTACTAGGATTGCCTGAGTAAGGCTAGTGGGACCAAGACGGTATTATTAAGGTGAGGGAAGAAAAGTGGATATAGGTGAAAATTGCCCAAGAAGAATGAGAGGTCAAAAAGTCTCAAGGTGGCTAGACATAGAAGAATTTCCAAAATCTTCAAGTAAAGTTTCTATCCGTACTAATATTCAGCTAAATACTAAATTATATTCTAAGTATTAAATTAATACTGAGACTATCATATTATAGGCAATCAAACTTTGTGCTGCATTTCAAACAGCTTTTAAAGCCAATGTTACCTTCTCCTCTTTACCTCCCACTGACCTTGCACCCTTGAGTATTTTATCTCACCCTTGATTTCTTACAATTGTCCAGTCTTCTATACAGTAGGAAGAGGATTAGTAAACTTGAGCTAACTAAAGTGAAGCTGCAGATGACAATTTATGGTTAAATACTGATCTGCTAACCTTTTATTTAGCATGCAATAACTAACTTGAAATAAAAGCTTTCATCTTTCCAAAAAATCCCTAATGAAGGCACACCTGAAATTACTCATTGTTCTACAATTCATCTGTTGTTTTAGGCATTTTATTTGCCACATCTTACTGTCCTTATAAGAATAAGTCCTGCATTGCAAATATGTTCCTGGATAGCTGCTCTAATGGCTGGGCTTACTCAGATTTTTTTAGAATAGTGCCTCTCCACATTGTGTGAGTGGGTTAAAGACAGAAGTAACATAGTGCTCTGGGTAATATCAGCAGTACTCTGGGCATTTGGCAGCTGCATGTGGGAGAATATGAGATGACAATTATAAAAGATAAGACTACAAAAAAAAAAAAAAGCTGCTAGGAAAAGAAAAAAAAAACAAGAAAGGTGAAAAAAAAAAAAAAGAATGGCTTCCCTTTCTGGTAATCTTCGGAGAAAGCAGAGATCATATGTTAGGAAAGCATCTGATAAGAGTGTAAAATTAAATTTCTTCAAATAAATCAAATCCTCCTCTGGGAGTAAATTTACTCCACAGTAAATTTAGTGTATAAATATGACTGGTGTTCTGTGATAGCTAAAGTGTACTAATTTTTATAAAAGGATACTTTTTTATGCTCTCATAACTCAGAAGTGCCTTCTTAAGTTCATAACTTTATAATCAACTCTCTGTGCATTCTGCTTAAGACAAAATATTTTGAGAAAATAACAGGTAGGTGAAAATAACAGTAGAGACTAGAAAGGAGACCTGCATTTTGAAGACTGTATTTCTTGAAAAAAGAAATAGATAAAAACGTCTATTACATACTTTATTGAGTACAGTAATAATAGTGATAATCTTGTCATTTCTTAAGCAACAGATGCCTGACCTTTTACAATAATTTAAGAAAATCACTAAAAACCTTGCAAAATATATTGCAAAATGTGTGTCAGAAGCAGTGTTTCAAAGTATTTGTGCTGTGAGAAAGAAGTTTTTTTTCTTTTCCCCTGTGAGAGAAATTATTGGCTCAGATCCTGTAAGGAAATCAGGGGAATATAATAAAGAGTCATAATTCAGCTCACTATGTAGTTGAATAGGAAGAAACAAACATGTATCTTGCTAGGGCACTTTAAAATCAAGGTTTCAATACAGTTTAACTCAATGCAGAAGGAGAGCTGAATTTAGGGAGTGCTATACAATACCTGAGGTGTGCTGGAGTAGCTAGCAGCTGGAATTAATCTACAGCAGCACAAACTGCTAGGGCATTACTGTTTGTTTTTGCTTTAGCTGCTTACTCCATTTTGTATTGTATTTCACAAGTGCCTGCTAATACACTGCCTGGACTGAGAGACATTAATCATGGTGTCAAGCCAGTTTTGTAAACAAGGACCAAAGCCTTCATTTAAAGAGAAGAAAGAGAAAAGTAGGTGAATGAGAGTGGGAAAGGAAATAGTAGTCGGCACTGAGATTATATTCTACTCTTGTCTTCCACGCAATTCTATCTTGTTGCTGTGTTTGTATGCATTCCTTCAAAAAATCTGTACCTAACTGGATGACCTTGAGCTTTTACTGAATTCCAGATGGCCTGTGGCTCTCACTGAACAGTCTTAATGTTTGTAGCATTATTACACCAAATACTCATAAAACTGATGTCCACAATATGCCAAAGATCTGTGAGGAACTCTTTGACAGAACCTTTGACTGAAAATACCATTTTCATGAAAATGTAAATGTTCAGATTAAACTTTCCTCAAAGGCTTATAAAACTTAGGATAAAACTGTGAGTCAAAATCCAAAGTTCTGCTTTTCAGTGTGGAATTCCCATAGCTCAAATAATAGTTTTAACAATTGTGCTTCTACAGTCCCACTGTTTCTTTATTTTTTAATAACAAAAAAAGATAAGAAAAAAAATCTTGCCTTCATTCTTATGTGAAACAACTTTTCTGAAAATCTCAAAAAATGTGGGACAGGACAACAGTTTCCTAAGCAGTTTAATACTGAGCACATTGCATATCAATTGAATTGTTTCCTGAGCTGTTACTTGATAGGTAATGTTTAATGAAAAAAATAATTAAAAACTACATAATGACTAATAGTCACTGTAGCATAGTTGTTTTAGAAAGAAATGAATCTCTCATATTTTTTCAGGTTTACTTCTAAGTGCAATGGAAACGTTTTATTGCATAACATTGTTGATTAACACCTGTTTAATACACCTCTTCAGTGAACCGTTTTGTTGCCTACTAAGTTCAATTCCTTCACATGTTACATAACAAGAGTACGAACTGAACAAATTGTCCACGTTATTTCTTCACACTTCAATTTTAATAAAATATGGCCATGTGCATATCTGTGAGTTCAATTGACTGGTGATTTTGCCCTTAATTTTTTAACTATTATAGATTCATGTGAGCTCTCCCCCCCCCCCCCCCCCCACACCAGGCCTAAAACTGGATATGGTGCCCCAGAAATGACACTACGAATGTTGCATTGAGAACAGTTGCTTTTCTAGTCAAACCCCTTGTTTATACATCCTAACTAAGACAGGGGCATTCTCTACAGCAAACTCACACAATATCCTACAGTTTACTTTGTAGATGTTTGTAAACTAGGCCTCTTTTGACAGAGACATAGGAAGCAGCAGAGCAGCTCTGCCAGAAATGTGACGCGCAAATGCAGCACAGCTGGATTTGGAAGAGTATGTGTGCCTATACATACTGTTCTGTAGAATAACTTTGTAAGTGGTTTTCATGGCTTATATATTGAATTTTTCTTTCTCATGTTAACTGTCTTGTGTTTCTCTCTGCTGTAGATATGGGCTTATCATACTAAATTTTGGATTATTTTTTTTTCAGTATATTCACTATAGCCTTTTTTCCAGACATTGCTTCTGTTTGTTTTAGCTGGTTCAATCAAACTCAGAGAACAAATTTCTGAGGGTGGAAAGGATTAACTGAGGCCTGGCTCTTTTAAGATGCTTACAGTCACTCATCTATGTGTTGTATGCCATACTTTTAAAATTAAGGCCCTCAGCAGCTAGCTTCCCCTCCTGCTCGTGGGGTCAGGGGAGATGCACGGCAGCGCTTCAGGTCTCCCCACATGGGCAGAATTTTCTGGAAATCCGGGAAGACCTTTGGGTGACATTTCTGGCCTGGTGGAAGGCGTTGCGAAAACCAACCAAAACACTGAGGAGAGGCCGGGCGTGCCGCGAGGAGCAGCGGCTCCCCCAGCCCCCGCTTACCTGCGCCGCGCTTCCCTGGCCTGGCGGAGCCGCGCAGCCCGCTGAAACACCCCACGGGCCGAGAGCACCTGGGCTAG